TAAAGTAGTAGACGCGATCGCCGGGGAGAGAACTTTATTCACCTGACCTTATGGATTCTGGCTCGAACCCATCAGAAACGTGCAACTGGTTATACAGGAATTGACGTACTTATAATATACAATCGCTATGCTACTGCATACCTATAACAATTCGCATCTCCCCTGAGTGGCTAATTGCGTTGGCCGAACTGAATCTCAGCACAGAATGTGCGTTGTGTAGGCCAATTCACTTGTTGATAGACTTGAGTGCCCGTCAAACACGACTCAAACAACTCACGGCTCACATGCTTGTCACCTCCTGGGAAAATGTCGGCCTCATCGGAGTTGAATGTACGGCCGGGTCACGTCGAATGAGCGGCGAATTAAGTATTGGGGTCATTTCTCTGCAGTGTTCGGTAATTCGCACCGGAGAAGTCTTCCAGTTTCTCCAAAGTGGTTTCTTTATCTGTAACTGCAACAGTGACGATAGACGCCTCCAGACGTCTCCTGCTGTGGCAGTGGGCCTTTTGTCTATATTACATAATTCTTAATATTTGCATCCGGCCTGTGTGCGGCACCAACTCCAAGTAGTGCTAGAAGGCGACCGACTGATGTTGTATTTTTCGCGTACAAGATAGACAAGGATGACTATACGTGTGCCCAGTTTAAGCATGATAGGAGATTTAGCATAACTTTCTATTTTTATCCACAGCCATGTATGCTGACCTCTACCAAAACAGTCTTTTAAAGTCTAGATCAAATGCAAAGAATTTCGCGTGGATTTGTATTCCGCTGCAAAGTTTATGGGATCACTTCTATAAATATTTAAACCCTTTGAAAACCTACTTTCGACTGACCATCGCTCCAGATTTCTGCATTGTTGCGAGTCTATTGTAAAGGGTCACAGTAACACATACGGTGTGGTGAGCTAATACATGTTTGCACGGCACCAAAACGGTTTGCTGGAACAAACGTATTATATATTTATAGATAATGCGGTAGATGTGCTTTCACCGATCAAGTATGTAAAGGAAGCACATCCCACAGAGGCACGGGATGGCACTGTTTGCTTAATTATACGCCATTCTAGTCGCCCTTTTCTTTGTCAATCCTATTTTTCTACATAATTAATTGGCGCTATACGATTGCTCTAAATGGATTTATAAGGTGCAGTTGGGCGAACATGACAGTAACTTGAACGGCGAATGACACAATTACGAAGTGTGTTCCTCATTATTTTCTATGTGGCTTCTAATATATGACATCCAGTTAAGCTCATAATTTCATAAATTATTACGGAAAGGAATTGGAGACAAAAGCTCATTTCATTATTTATTAGAGTCGGCCACAAAATCGTGATGAACACTTGAGGCAAAAACAATTATCCTCTGCGGGATAACAGCATAATATAGATAGTAAAGTCTAGAAGCTAGGCGCTGACAGATCGGTTACGGAAACCACTCGTCCTGTTGTGTCTCGAGTTTTACTTTCGGGCCCTGTCAGCAGCCGTTCGGTAGCTAGGCAGAAAGACATTATCGATAAGGAAAAGTGAGATTGAAATGGCTAATGCTGACTTATTAGTCGTCGTCATCCAGCCCACCACCACCACCACCTGGGGCAGGGTAAAGCCGAATGCTGATGGCCAATAAGCCAAAAGTAATAATTCCAGACTCCCTTGGTTTTGCCGGTAATGTCATTTGCTGATGATAAAGTAGGTGTGTTCATGCATACTGGCGCCAAATGGCAGACATTTTTTAAGAAGTGTACGTCAACCGGTTTTCTAGTTGCTTTTCTGAAATTTCTCTGGTAAGAAATTAAAGGAGGAGCTCAGACATGAGGCTGACAACGAGGGAGACTAATAGACAATAGCGAACTAGTATGGGGGTAAAATGAACTAACCACAGGCACATAATTGCAAACCGAACGCCGTGTAGCGAGCAAGAATCCTGAGTATGGAGGAAGATTGCGTTTGTAAGCAGCATTTTCACCCTATTGATCTCCGATTTCTACAATAAGTGAAAAAGAAACGAATAAAGGTCACATTTACCACGAAAAAGCGTTACTAATAAACAAACATAGGGAAAGCCATGGAGCTTGGGCTCCGGTCGTGTATGGCGTTGTGTTTTCTCTGGTTTTCTGGTTGTGGGGGCCAACAGTGCTGTCCTTCTTGACTCTGTCTCGAAACGGGACTAACATGAAGAAGTGGAACAGTGAGCGAGGTAGATCCATCGCAAGTCAACTCGAACTATAACCCAGCGCAAGCCATCGCACCACAAAACCCTGCCGTGGAGCATATGGTGGACCTCGTCTAAAACGACAGTCGAACTGCCATGTCTGCTCTCAGATCTCTAAGGGATGAATTATTTGCCCAAGTAGAAAAGAAGAGGACCTTTCGATGGCAAGCAACATTTCGTTATTCACCTGAATCAATCAAAGACCCGTAACGCCAGCCTGGCGGCGATGGCTCAGGGCTCTGTATACCGGCGACAGATCGATATATCAATCGACTGACTTTTCACCGGAGGTCCAGGCTTCAAATAAGTTCCGGCTTCTCTTGCTTCTGGCGTGGGCGATTATCTTGACGGCTGTGACAGCCATTTTCGATAGTCTTTACCCCGGCGCGCAGCCAGCTTATGCCCATGTATTCGCGATCAGGGTATGCGTTCACGCCGAACGCAGACTCCTGTGCGAGTTCGCAAACTTTGATAAATAAAAAAATGGTTCGAGGGACCGAAAACACTTCTCTGCTTACACATACACCTAAAAGGCAGTCATTCGCCGGAATTGGTTGGCTAAAGCTGGGGAGAGTGTGTGCGAAGCAGCTGATGGCTCGTTCTACAAACGTGCTTTTCATTTTTGAAAGTGAACTCGAATTGTATTCTCAAGTTTAAATTTGTTGCGCAGATATTCAAGACTGGAGTCAACAGAGGGATTGCATTTGACATATACTTTGATAACTTGTGCAGGGAGAAAGCAATAAACAAATGGGAAAAGAAGGATGAGGGATTAAAGCCTCGGAACTCTTACCGTGTTAGCCGACGCGAGGAAACAACAGTATCCAGCAAGGAGCCCCGTCGGCAGAGCTTTGAGGCTATATTCGAAATCTGAAAAAAAGCCAAAAAAAAATCACTTTTTACTTTTATGCTCTTCAGATCTCAGCAACAGATGAAAACATAGCTATACCTATAAAGTCTATCATAAAATTTGGCGGTACTCGTTGAATAGCCATTCAAACAGCAAACAAACACAAATGAATATTTTCTATTATCCAAGATTCGTTAGCTTTTTAAATGGTTATGGTTAGCCTAGGTGAAATTAGATCGATCACGAGTTCTATTCTCGCACACATTGCCGATACGAATAATCGAGTCGATCCTAACAAAACATTTCCGTTTTTCTATCGAACACTACGCCGACGGGTCCTAGCAGCAGTCAAGGCAGTGACCATACAACTGGCGAATCCAGTGCTATGCTGTCCGAAGACGCTAATACAGGCACTCTTTCTTCCGTGGCCGATGCCGGCGCCAGGTGGCGATCGCACGTCGCTCCCATCTCCTGGTAACCATTGTTCACTCCATGCACGTGACACTGATCTTCACGTCATGTACTCGACCCATGACAAAGACTCGCAGCCTACCCTATTCTCCCCCCGTCCACTTACCTCTACATGCCGATCTTGCCATGCGAGTGGCATTAAAACAATAAGTTTTAATCAGAAGATATTCATAAACTCCCGCCCAGCTCTCCTATTTATATTGCTTAATTGGTCGGCAAGGATGGAATATGAAACCTAGTAAAGAAATAGAACACAAGGATTCCTGTGATACGAAAAAAATTCTAATATCCTATTTATCAGTAGGGCAAGTGGGCGCGGGAGACATCTCTAACAAACTCTTGCCTTAATAATTCAACGAGGTGTCAGAACAGACAGCATATTTTAGAAGACGCGAATTCTGGGCTTATAAATAGGTAAAAATGTAATGACCAGGTGTAACAGATACTGCAAAGTCTTTGTCGGTTATTTTTATTCCGCGTATGATACTAGCCGCTACGCGACTGCTGACGAAGCTCGAGAACGGGCCCCAGTGCAGAACGGGACGAGTGAGTTACGTAAACGATCGACGGACACCTGTCAAGCAACACAAATATATTCAATCTTAAACCACCAACAGCAAGAACCCGTGACCCATTGGTTAGTCCGTTGGATTTCTGACCAACGGGTCGCGGGTCTGATCTTCGGATGGGGCACCATCTGGGGTTGGGTGTGGCCGGCTGACGGCGGCTACTAAGTCAGAAATAATCACTCCACTCTCCCTATTCTTTGTCAATGACGTCCTTCTGCCTATGCGACTAGCCGCTGTACGGCTGTTGGCGGAACTGAAGAGTGCGTTCCAAGGCACAACGGGAGGATTGTGTGCGTAACGCGATTGGTGAGCGTCCGGCTGCAGCTGACTGATCTCTTAGGGGTCTCATAGGTCACAGTTTGCCTACTCTCTTAATTCAGCCAAGTCCATATCTCCTGGTTAGTACGTGTGATAGTACTACTAAAAGCCCCGTAGTAGGAAGCAGTCGATTGTTTGACTTAATCTCACTTGCGGAGTGAGAGTGCGAAGTGCTTTTTGTACCACTGCACTGCCTCCAAATGGTTTGCGTGATAGATGCGCTGGACGAACGGAGTGGCTATGTCAGTACACGACCGTAGTTATTCCGGTTGCTCTCCTATAATAAATATCGAACATGGGGGGCGTCGGTGGCACGCGCGGATGGAGGCTCAAGCAGCACCAGGTACCTCTGGCCTTAATGCCACTCTCATTCCATGGGATTTGAGTCAGGCGTGACGGCTTCGGCGTTGAATGTCACCGGCACCAGATTCTGCCTCGGGTCTTCCTTAACCTTCTCGTGACAGCGCGCTCGGACGGGTGAGGGCATAGGGTGTGCAGTTGATGAAACACAAGTCTCGTATGAACTGAAAGGCAAGCATCTACCATCAGCTTAAACCTATCTACGCGTAATTCACTGTCCTCATATCACCATACTGTGAAACACACTGTGGACATCCTTGGAATCGACGGTCGGAGTGACGTTCTACCTCGGATGGTGCTGGGGGATATAGGTAACTGAGGAAGAAACGAATGCGTTCTAAACGATCGCTGACGAATCTATGCGCAAATCCGATGACCAGACTTGCTTGCCATGAGCAGCCAACCCAGCAGGAGATTAAGCATCAAAATTGGGCAGTTGTGCGTTTAATAATCAGGCTAGGTTAAAGGGATCATAGTGGCAGTCAAAGCGCGCAGAGAAGGACGCAAATCTTACAGCCTTGTAGAGTCTTTTCCATAAGTAGAGCCTGGAACGGCTCGTAGAGATGACCTTGGATGAGTGAGGCTCCGAAGATCCGACCTATTTGCCACACAAGGCGGCAGACGACCCGACCAAAGACGAGCTCAGGAGCGCTGGGATAGAGGCGCCAGGGTAGACAATAGTTCTCATCCAATTGCGACTAGTGGAAATAACAAAAGTAGGGCATAACACTGGGAGAAATTGCAACAGACAGAGCAGCAAAAGCAAGAAAACTGAAAGAACCATTGAAAATCAAGATTACGAGCGCTTTCAAGTCAGCCGCCTGTAGTTAATGCAGTTCACAGTTTTTATGGCCGATTTTTTCTCTTTTTGGTAGAGTGTTGGCCAGTAGTGTTGAAATGGATGCTGTCATAAAATAATCACACTTATAGGCAGTGTTGCAACGGCTAGCCCGATAATGCAACGGGGCAATATAACCGTCATTTTGTCGTCGCCTGGAGGTGATTTTAAGTAGGATGGAAATATTCCCTTGTTTTACCGTTGCTGATACTTGTATGCATGCTGAGAACGAGAAGCAGAATTTTTAACAGACGGTGAGGGTCTGAAGGGAAGATAACTTCCATTTATATCGATCAACGAAGGTCATGTAATTCAGACAGATGTTCTAACCAGAACATATCAAGGAGCATGCCTCCTTTCCTGATCCAGTATGCATTGCGTCTTTTGAATGGCGCGTAGCTATCGATTTTGCTCGGCGTGGGAGGAATATGCACGCGTGTATCCATGCGGAGTATGTCATTTGAAGGATAGTGAGTTCAGAAGACTACGTCCATCCGTTAGACTACCTGCACACTAAGCTGGGCCTCAAAAATACTCTGCCCTTCTCATAACTGGTTGATTGGCTTACCCCACAGCAAATAAAAATCCTCCCGAAATTTTAAACGGTAGTTTCGAAGGGTAGGTCCAGCCTCAATTCAGGACGATTACAGGGACGTTAACGAAGCAAGACCTCGTTATTCCAGAATATTCGCTACAAGACCCACCTGCACTGGGAGCAATAGGGTGTTTTTCCTACTGGCAGAAACTGTCAGTTTGCTCACAGTGTTTGCGGTCTGAGGCAATTAAAAATAAGTCCAATTTTAGGACGCTACTGTGTGTCCTTGTGGATTTACCAGGCTACATTCTGTGCGAAGATGATTGCTTACCCAAACTCTTAAAAAGAGCTACTGATCGCACAATCTCTCAGGCACAATGTGAAAATGGCAGAAAACGGTTCCTTCCTCGGCAGTTTACCCAATTTTTATAGGAAGGATTTTCTTGCCGTTGCACAAATTTTCTCAAAACTGCATTTTGTGAATCCTTTTCCTGTTCATCCGGCTTATTCTAAGTTAGTTTTTGTTCGCATGACAACTTTTTTTGCTAAATCTGCATGCAAAAATGATAAATTAAACCGAAAAAGGTTTTTTCGTGTCTTCCACCCATTCTTAATAGCAGAAAATATGAAGGATTTTGATCTGTCCCTCTAAAATTCCCTAACACGCCTCTCTGGGTTTAACAAAAAAGGCTAATTAGCAGGTGTTTTGGCCTATTTGAATAATAAATTCAATTTGATTAGGAAAACTCGGGGATCTCAATGGCTGGGGTCTTGTAGCTGAAGTGATTAAAACGTTATCTTTACTGACTCTTTGTCCTTGATACCGTTTGTAAGAACACAACAGAGGATGCCAACTTTTTCGGAATTGGGTCAAATTAATATTACTATTTTAAAACTAGTATACAAGAAGCAAATGTTTACAAGGAGCAGTACCACTGCAACAAAGCCGCTTCAAGCATCCGTCGTCAAATGAGCGTAGTTTTAGACAGAAACGAGTCGTAGTCCGTGCGTCCTATTTGAAGATATTCAGGTCTAATATCATCAAGAAGAATGATCTCGCGCCGACCGCCAACAGCATCGCCTCAACGGCCACCTGCAATTCACATGGTATAGTTCTTTTGACCATGAGGACCTCTTTTATCTACGCTTTCCTGTCTATTGAAGAGCATAGGACTCTCATTTGAAATCGTGTGACCCCGAAGTCAGTGTTTTGAGAAAGAAATCTTTTTTTTGATATCCGCTTGTTTTTAAAACTTGTATGAAAATCGCGCAAAGATCGAATTTAAAGGTTTTAAGCGTCGGCAAACCAAAGGAAAATTTGTAAAGGCATGCTGATTCTGATTTTTTTGAATTTGCCAAGAATGTAGCCTAAAGTTCACAGCACTGTTGTGTGATCTACAGATTATAGCTTGGAGGTTACGAGTCAAAACAGAGACAGCTGATCTTGAACTCAGATATGAGCGAGAGGTGAGACAGAGGGAGTGAATGCTTGGTACCTTCTGTGTCTGATCTCATATCCAGTGATCCTATTCTAACCTTGCCACTGGGTCAGAGTGTGAATAGGAAGAGAGTGTGAGTTTAAGTTTAACCATGCCATTTTTACTATAAACTAACCGACCTCTGCCTCATTCATGATCAGAAAGTCCTTCTTGACAGGCACAATTGATGGTTAATCGTATTTGACCATATAGTGAAAGTGTATGAGACCAGGCACCTACCTGCATCACGGTAATAAACTCAGCCGTTGTGGTTGCATCCGGTTCAAGATAGATGGGGATATCTTTGCAGCCCTGGGGGATCGGCTGAATACTTTTCAGCACCTGAGCCAAGTGAAGTACTAACTGACTTTTTACGAAGTCCATGGCCGGCCAATCACCGTCCTCGTAGAGTTGAAGAAAACCGTCAACGCCATCTTCGCCGAAACTGCAATTTTCCTCATCTCCTCTAGCCTCCTCATCCTCCTGCTCATCGCAAGTAGAGAGATTGGCGTCTTCCTCCCTTCGTTTCGGCTTGAGAATCCAGTCCAATACCCTTGTGAGCTGGCAATAGTGTGCAACACCCAGGATCGATCTTGGATCAAAGAGAATGCTTCCTTGATATTCTGTGTCTTCAGCGGAACCCAAAGAGGAAAAGGTGTTTCCATTAACAAAAAACATTTAAAAAGAAGTATTTACGACAAAAGTATGGCATTTAAATTCAAGCAAGTGTGCTGAACATTGGGGGACTTCGGATTCTGCGATGGAACTCGTACACACATCGAAGACTTAAATATAGGCATTTTCAAATTTTACGATTAGTGAGCATCAGGCCGGCGCAATAATATGCGTACCGAAAGGAAAGCAAAATTTCGAAAAAATAAATGAATAGAGGAGATAGCGGGGCGGGTGTAAATGCAGACCAAACCATGGGAGAAATTATCATATAGTCACGAGAACAGGAGTATGCACATGTTTTGTGATTTAACACTGTAACGCAATGTTTTAGCACACAGAAAGGAATAGGTAGGGCGTGGTTTAAGTCAGAGTAACTGAAAGATTTGGGCGAGGAAATATTTGACCAAGTTGGCCAACCGCATAGTCATCACCCCCTGCCTGCGAGATTTTCCGCACGCGTTTTTATTTATCCTCATCTACAGTAAGTTAGGTAAACTGCCTATGCCACCAAATACGTGCAACTTGTTATGTCAACTTTGTATATAATACGCAAAAGGTGTATTTAGAGTGCTATAAAATAATAAAACAAAACTAAGCCTACTAAAACGCATATAGTAGTTCGTTATGTAATGGATCCGACAAAGCAAAGGGAGACCGGAACGGACATTTCTGGCTTTTTAGCCGTCATCAGCCAGTCATACCCAAGCTCAAGGGTTGGAACCCACGAAATTCGAACCCGGGATATTTGGTCATTGAGCTTTATACTCTACCTTGGCACCACGGGCTCGTTGCTCTGTCGGTTGTGATCGGGAGTATGATGGAACTGGATGTTCATCCGATCTATCTGATTTTGGGCATATACTTGTCCCGGTGTGCCTTGAGGCTCGTACTTGAGTGATTTTAGGCCGTCGCTAAGCGACCTCAGATATGATGGAATGGATCCGACAAAGCAAAGGAAAACCGGAATAACCATTTCTGGCTTGTTCGTTATGTATATTTAGCCCAGGTTCCTTTCACACCTATCCTCATCCTTGAATCTAATCGACACCTTGTAAAGGACTGAACAGGGTTGGCTGGCATCTACTTAGTAGCCGTTGTCAACACCATGTCACACGAGTGCCCTCGATATGGTTTAGGCTTGCCGGATAATGCTCACGCATTTAGTCCTTAGAACAACATAACCTGCTCCAGTGGAATAATTGAAGCCTTAAGTGAACGTAGAAGAGGTCTGAGAAGACAGCTCATCTTAATCTTTGAGGTCAAACAGGGGGTCTCTGGGCAAAAAAATTCTAATTTGACTGTTGGGAACGTGTGCCTGATGGCAAAGTTCAGGTTTTGACGTTGGATCTCAGTGGAGGCGTCTCCTTGAAAGGGCACTCGAAAGAATATTCGAGAACGCCTGCGATATGCCTTCGCCAACATAAAAAAGGTTGTTCACCTTCAATATATGCTATTCGTACATATATGTGTTGTGCAATGGAACATAAGCATCCAAAGTACATTTAAGTCGTAGGAAGCCGAATAATTTTGGAACGAAACAGAGTTACTTATACGGACACGCACACAGCAGTGATGATACTCGCTTACATGGACGCAAACATACTGGCGGGACTGGCAACAGCAGCAGCCCCGATATACGCAGGTACACAAAAGGGATTGCCGCCGCCAATTTTAAGAGTTTATTATGTGCCTTGAGAATACTGGTTCGTTAGTTCGGCCGGTAAATGGATGGTTAATAAAGGCAATTACATTTTAACGGTGCATAACAAAGTACTGTGTAGCTAGCTGAAGTTGGTGTCAATGGGTGACTACTAGATTCTCTTATCCGGTGTGAATTGGCTGATTTCGTCCTTATTCGGGTTTCGGATGCTTTACGCGGCCCACAGATCAATAAATCGATTGGTGCATGCCTCATCTGTGTTTAATGCGTCCAAGAATCCTAGCACCAATGTGGACTGTCTTCCATGTAAACTTTCGCCCCATTTCCAATGTGAGAACAACCACCTGAGATTGACGGACCGAAATCCTAATAAAAGTCTGATGTTCATATGACTGATTGGTGACGGTTGATAAGCCCGAAATGACTATTCTGGTCTCTCTTTTCTTGGTCGGCAATGCACTTCTGTCTATATATCTATATATATACGTATAAATAGACGAAAAATGCCTGTATAATACAAATAACAAAAGTACACACCTTCATCCAGCGGCGTGAAAAGAGGATCGGGAGAACTGAGTCTTAACGCGGGAATGACCGGCTCCAGACTCTGTAAAAACTGTGCAAATACAAACGGCACTAGGCGTTCGAGCACCGCTTGTATGAGTCGCAGTTCGGCTGCTGGAAATTCCGAGCGAGGAGTGAGCGACCTGCGGGTTGCCAAAGACGCCTGAGTCCGTGCATTTTCCACTAGTTGCTAAACAAAACGAAAAGGGGGCGACCGCAGAATTTCAATAAACACTGCTTTCGAAAATCATGTATTTAAGCCAAGCTTAGTCTCAGTAGAGATAGCTACAAGACAAGGTCATACTGCCTTGAAAAAATCCTGCCCCCGCGCGGTTTGAAATTTTTAAGCAGTGGCGT